CATTGGTCTAAGCTCAGGGCTGCTGAAAGGGTATGGCGCAAATCAAAAAATCCTACTGACCTTAACGTGTATCAGTCACTCCTCTCTTCCTTCTCTGCTAATGTCTCCACTCCTAAAAGGACATACTATCATAACAAAATTAACAATTAACAAATTTAACAAATGCTCTTTCCTCCCTCCTTTGTCCTACTCCTCCCCCTCCATCAACTCTAACAGCTGACGACTTTGCCACGTTCTTCCGGTCCTGCAGATTTGCTTTATTCAACATCAAGAAGATCAGGCCCTTTCTTTCGGAACATGCTTCACAACTCCTTGTTCAAGCTCTTGTTCTGTCCAGGCTGGACTATTGCAATGCTCTCTTGGCAGGTCTTCCAGCCAGTTCTATCAAACCTTTACAATTAATTCAGAATGCGACAGCAAGATTAATTTTGAATGAGCCGTTTATCAATTTGCACTGGCTACCAATAACTGCTTGCATATGTTATGTCCTGTGACATATGGGTCTTTTAATGTGTTCCTGTGTCAGTGTTGGGAAAGTTACTCTGAAAATGTAATTAAATTACTGATTACTCCTTTTAAAAGTAATCACGTTACTGTTTTGATTATTTCAAAAGTAGAAAAAGTTTAAAGAAAAAGCCCCAAAAGAAAAAACAATCCACTACCCTTTCTCCCTGTCTAACCACCAAAACGGGAGAAAAGGTTTAAAGGTTTTACCGGTTTCACGATAAATCACGATAAAATGCCCTGACGGTTAGTATTATTGTTTAAAATTTAATTATCATCAAAACCGTGTTTGATTATCGCGATTTTGAAAACTCACTGTAAATCCTGTCCAGCCAGCATCAGTCTGACGCAGAAGCAGCATGCAATGTTGTTGTTTTTTTGCACAAGACGAAATGGCGGAAGGCAGTGACAGCGCTCAGGAGATTTTTCAGCCATCATCGGAGATCTGGTCGTATTTTGGCTTTTACAAGAGTCCTGAAGGCAATTTAATCGAGGACGGTCACCCTGTCTGCCGATCTTGCAAGAAGAAAGTTGCTGCTAAAGGTGGAAACGCGTCAAATTTGCTCATCTTTGTGACCACCACCCACTGTTATATAGCGAATGCAAGGTAACTTTTACCTCAATACCAAAACTAACTTATATATATAGTGATTTATTATTATTAGGTAGGGATGTAACGATTCACTCAACTCACGATTCGATTCTCGATTTTGATTTCACGATTCGATTCGATTCACGGTTATTATTTTTAACAAAATGAGATTTAAGACAAATTATAAATTAAATGTGTCCTTTTATTA